GCGACAGGAGACCGCTTCTTTTTTTTTTCTGTCTTGTTTTTAATTTTAAGACTTACTGGAGCCCTGCTAATGCAAACCTTGGTTTTAGTAAACCATGTTCAATAAAGCTAAACGCTTTTTCACTAAAAACGTTGATTTTTGCAAACTGTTTAAGAAGACCTGTAGAATACGATGAAGACGATTGTTCATTTTTAAAAAACAACGCATCCATAATGAATTCTTGTGTTCCACTGTTTGTCTATGATTGAGGCCTTCGACAGCTTTCGTTTAAATAATTGGCCTTGAGTTATTTAAGCCTGAAGAGTCTTCTCCCGCAGAGTACTAATGAGGGAGTCTTTCATATAAACAATAACCTTGTGGCCCTCTGCTGATAAATTAATATCTGCTGCATGAGCTACAAATCGACAATGTGATATGTAAGAGAGCTTTTGCATCAATTTAGTGAAGTGATGCTTGAAAATCAAGAATAGACTGAGCAAATCCCTTGAAATGATCCATTGGAAATCTTGGAAGCGTAAACAAATGAATTCAGGTTTTCTAAACAGTTACTTTGAAATGTCTTCTAAAGTGACCTTTCTTAACCAAGTGTAAAGCCACAGATGTTTAATATGTAAATGCTTGTAATAAAGAAGTTTCCGGTGTTGCACAAACCTCTAGGTTCTTATTAATACGTGACCCACGAGCATCCTGGCTCATAACGCAGATAAGATGCGACACTAGACTTGGGCAGTTTTTGAAAAAAAAAACCTACCACGCTGAGATGATATATTTTTATCGATGAAATGCAAGTTGGAATTAGTGAAGCACTATAACACCATGGCTATTTATCCCAGATGGCATGGTTGTTGTTCAATTCTGTCTGAAGAGGAACATGATAATACTCTCTTGAAATGTCAACAACCGTTACAATATGTTTTTCTTAAAAAGATATCCAGCTGACTTTGTATTGGTACTTAAACTACTGAAATGAATGGAACTAATATCAGTGAAAATCATCTTTTTAACAGCCTGGGTTGGCTCCATCGGCCTGGCCATGGTTTGGTTTGCCAGTTTGCTGGCTGGATATCTGTGTGATCACTTTGGATGTCGCATCACATGTTTTATGGGAGGACTCCTGTGCATTGCAGGTCTGGTAGCGACTTCGTTCGCCAATAGCCTCACTCTGATGTACTTTACTTACAGCTTGGTGTACGGTTTGGGGGCCTGCTTCATTTTTAACTCTTACTATCTCGCGGTTGGAAAGTATTTCGACAAAAAACTCTCAGTAGCTGTTGGTATAACTGCATTGGGGTCGAGTGTAGGTGTCTTGTACACAGGCCCGTTACTTCAGGCTCTTTTGGACGCATTTGGTTGGAGAAACACGTTTAGAATAATGACGGCAACCTTCGCTCTTGTTTGTATTTTGAGTTTGAATTTCAATCCGTATGTTGTAAAAATGACATCGTTGGTGGATGTAGAATTGGAAACATTGGAACAACAAGTAGGAACTAAGGGTAGAATATCTTTTTACTGCAGCGTGTGGACATATCCTGTTTACACTTTTGTCGTCATTTCTGTATCGGTGGCAAGTTTTGGAATGTTCATTCCTCAATTGAATCTGGTTAGTATATAGCTACGCAGAGTCTTACAAATACTTCTGTTCTGGAAAAGAATCATGAGTAAACAAATCTGAGTAAATAAAAGCCCTGGTTTGGCGGGAAACTATGCTCGGATATTTATCCGCGAAGCTGTTATGTGATTGATACATTTTCAGACGAAATTCAACTGACAAGCTTTGAACACTGAGTATTCCCTCTCAAATCTGGATGTTTATGTTGATAATCTGTGTAATTACGAGAATTTCTACTTTTGTTTTCTCATCTGTTTTCACTGTTGAAAAATTATATCATCGTTACTTAACACCAGTATTAATTTTACCCAGGTCAAGTACTGTGAGGATCTTGGGATCACAGCGCAAAGTGCCTCTCGACTGTTTATCTTCATTGGCCTCACCTCATCACTTGCACGAATTCTGTCCGGAAAACTGTGCAACAGTCCAACGATTAACCCAGTATTTGTTTATCAGTCGTCGCTGTTTATGGGTGGTGTATCTGTGCTCCTGTTACCTTACGCAACCAAATATTGGGCCTTAGTTGTATTTAGCTGTGCATATGGAACAAGCGATGGAATTTTTATATCAACAGCGAATTACATCCCACTTAGCTGCGTGGATGAAAAGAGAAAAACTGCTGCATTTTGTATCGAATGCCTGCTTTATTCATTTTCAGTTGCGACTGGCGGGCCAATCGCTGGTAAGACTTTCTCTAGACAGATCTGTAGAGGTACTCTCC